TACTTATTGTAATGTAACMATGGTTTTATGTTAAAGGTTTTTCATTAGGGATAGAATTTGTTTTAAAATTTTGTAAATAAAAATCAAAATTGTCATTTTTAAAAATAAACTTAAAGACCAAAACAAACCAAGATTTAAAATATAGAAACCATATTTTATTTAGAACAAAATAATAGTCATGGTTAAAGGAAGCTTTAAGAAAAGAGCCAAAATTTTCAAAAAAATTGACTAATAGGGCATGCAAATTAATAATATTTGTAATAAAGTGGGCATTGCAGTGCGTGTTGGAGGGAAGGTTTAGGTCCAATATTATACGCCATGCGTTGCGCCCGAGGACATTGTTGACTTTCAACCATTTATTTTTCATTTTTTTCTCTATGAAATCATCTCTTTTCTAATTTAAAAATAAATATTATCTCATTTTGTTGAATTTGTTGTCCTAGTTATTATAACAATTAACTATAAATTAAAGAGAGAAGTTTATTAATTGGCGCACGAGATGATATTAATTGGCAATAAAAGTTAGTGTCGTGTGCGTGCTTTGCTTTTATTTGAATCCTCAATTACAACAAAGTTCTGAATCTTTTTTATTTTATTTTATTTTATTTCTCCATTTTTTTATTCAGTCAAGGTACGTTAAGTTGCGTTTTACCATCGTGAACAGGACAGTAATGTTTTGATGGAGGGGTACGGGAGTAATTTCCTCTCAAATGCCCTAAATCTTAAGGGCTACCCAAAGCAATATGTTTAATCTTACAAAGATTAAGACTATCTATACATATTTAGGCCTAAAATGTTGGAACGGTGTCACGGGAGGCTGTTTTTAGCTTAAGAAATAATTAAGAATAGGAGCTATTTGGATATCCTATATTAGTTATTATCAACTAAACATAGGAATTGGAATATCCATCTTATAAAAATTCAAGATTAATGCAAAACAACTCCTTAAAATCATTATTTTTAATGACATTATTTACGACGTATTTAGTTAACTATTTCTGTTTCCTTTAGTTTTGTTTGTATGGACGATCTTTTTCTTTAATGAATTATAAATTTGATGGTGTTCTTTATTTAGAGATCAAACAAGTAGAGTAAGTAACGTGGTTTTGAAAATTTATATTATTCGGTAGAATTGATGCAACATAACAATTAATATCGCACGATTATTTTTAGAATGCAACCAAAATCTCATACTAACTAAGTAAAAAATATTCATGAAAATATATAAGTGAAAGAGAAAATCTCTATAGATATAATGTCTTTTTGAGTGAAACTAGATCAAGTAAAGGCACGGGAACTTATGCTTAAGGTGGATAATATCATATAATTGTAGAAATGTTGGAGGAGCTTATTATTTTTAACGAGTGGAGTCATATCCTTAACTTAACTATATTGATAGAATCTGAAGCCATTGGTATGAGGTCTTTGAACTTAGGTCCAAAGTAGATGGAAGGACTCTTCTCAATATTAGAGGAAATGCTGGATAGGAAGGAAAAAAACAACTAACATCGCACGCCAATTAAATTAATGATACACCCAAAATATCTCTCAATGTTTAATTATGAGATAAAATCTCAATGCATCCATGCCTCCTCTTCTTCTTTATACTATATCTTATTAACTAACTCAGGACCAAGGCTTGTGATATATGTATTATTAACTAATTTTCATTTACAATTTTATTCTAAAACATAAATAAAAATATTGTTTCATCATATTGGAATTAATGGTGGTCGGCACCATACCATTTATTTTTATTTGTTGTAAGTTCAGAAACAAAAATAAGAAACAATATTACGAAACCAACCTTAATTTTCAGTGACGTTTCCTTTCCATATGATGTGTCTTGTATTATAATCTCTTGTCGTGGATGCACGTTGCGTGTCCACTTCTGACCGTCAGTTTTCATGGACGGTTAAGATCCAATCATTGTCGTTTTGAGTGAAGTGGAACCCACTCCAATTTAATCCGGCCCAACACCTTGTGACAAGGGCCGGCCCATAATCCGGATCCTAACACCTCACCACACGTCTAACTATGGAAGACAGTGAGAGTGGACCCGAATGCTCACACCTCCACTAAATCAAGCACACGTGTGGAAGGTACGCACGTGAGAGATGTTTTTGGGCAGGGGAGGGCCCACGGCTGCCAGGTCATCATATTATTCATACGTATAATAAACAAAAAAAAAACATTATGCCCTCCCTTCTTTTGTCAATGAGACGCGTCCCCTCAAATATCTCCAAATTATTGTTTTCTACGATCCCTCTCATTCTTCGTCGCTTTACATGATGAACTCTGTTTTTTTTTTCTTTTAAATACAATTAGATACAATTTTAAAAGGTTGGCACTAACTGTACTTGAAATTTTACCTATCAATTCACATTAAATATATATGTAAAATAACGAACTTGACATCAAAAGTAAATTTATTCGGGTTTAAGGATGAATGATTTGATACCGACCATTCAATGTAGAGACTTGGATATTAAAATCCTAAGTAGATGGYCACTATGATTTAAATACATTATCTCTAAATTTTTCAGTGATTTACACCTAAGTTCTTATTGACCATGAGAGCAACCCATAAATGAATTTCTACGTAATGTCGCATCAAAAAAGTCATGTCCAACTTAACTRTTAAGGAGATATTAAAACCTATAGATAAGGATTTAAAAACTTTACATATCAATATTCTAAAAAAAAATAAACTTTGCATATCAAACTTATAATTTTCACCTTCAAATTATACAAACTAATATTTCATGAATGCCTCGTCCAAATGGGTCAAAGTAAATCAAAAGAATTTAGAGGAAATTGTATCGGTTAGTAGTTGGCTTTTGTGAAATAAAAATAGAGKAAAAAAAGAAGATGCAAAACTACCRAGATTAAATGAAAGTCACTATCACCCACTTTGATTCTAAAATTTCTAGCTTATAGTCATTTAAAGATGTGTACACACGTATGTGAGAATTATTCATTAACAGTTTTCAAAGAAACCCTATAACACGGGGTGTAATTGTGTTTCCCTCRTGATGTTTAGAGTTTGACACAAATATTAGTTTAGGGTTTTAATTGATAACAAAGTAGGGGCATAAATTAATTGCCTCAAATATATTTGTGCTTTCACTTATTTTCTAATAATTCTGATTTTTATGTAATTATAGATACTAAACAAAATCAAAWTTAAGCAGTAACTCGTGTGATTACAGAGATGATCCTTCACTTAAAAGAAAAGAAATTTGAGACATCTAGGGCTCGTTTGGTAATGTTCTTGTTTCTATTTCTTTATTTTTAATGAAGAAAAATGTATTGCATGGTTCCAACCTCTAAGAATTTAAATATGATAAAYAATATTTTTTATTTATGTTTTGGAACAAATTGGGAGTGGAAACGAGAAAAGAGAAACTAGTTTTGATTGTTCCCAAAATTTCTATACAATAATGTTTCCAAAAAAGAAGAAACAARAAACAAAGTTAGTTGAAAAATACTTTGATTTCTTAAGAAAATTGGAAACGAGAATGTTACCAGATGAGCCCCTATTCTTTTTTTTTTTATTTCTCCAAGATTGCATGATCTATTTTTTTTAATACCTTTCAATTCACCTTATTCACCTTCCCTTGGTTTTTGAGAATATAATCTCATGCTACAATAATATTCTATATTACAACATCTTTCCAATTATTTATCTTTTCTTTTCATTATTTTACAATGAGAAAATAATTTTTTTCAATAATATTCAAAACTTTCAAATTTGATGTTGAAAAAAGAGTTGGATGTGGTGTGGCTCGAAGACTGTCCGCAAGAAGTTTTTTCTTTTTAATTATTTCTTCTGAATTTCAATTTCTTTTTGTTTAACTTCTTTTTATCCTTAAAAAAATAATCTTTTATATATATATATATATATTACCTCTTTGTATTGCAAAAGGACTTCATAAAAATTTAATAAATTAATAAATTCAGCCTTACTAGTTATAGGAAATTATTAAATTCTACTCTTAGCAAATTAAATTCAGATAAAGTGCTTAAATTTGATACTCTTATTTTATCGGTGCCCATCTAGGTATTTTAGACTTCCATTGTATTGAAACAATATTATTTATGATGCCATTATTTATATTTTTAAGCTTGAACTTCTATATTATTGGCCAACGTMAGATTAACTTAATTAGTTAAGTTACATTTTTTTCCGATTATAAAGTTATAAGTTCAAATTTCCACCTCAATATWATATTAAAAAAAGAAAAAGAAAAAAAAAACTGCTGTCATCGTTTTTTTAGTACCAGAAAACTTCTATCTTTCTGTACCAACTAATTTAATTTTTTGGAATTCATATTATTGAAGCAAGACTCAATATCATTATTATGCCCTTAGCTTAAAAAAAAAAAATGCTCCTCCGCAAAACTACGATAAAATAAATACAAGAATTTCCCGTTCTCTAGCGGATAAATATAGTAAAATGAACACTATAATCTTACATTTCAAATTTGAAATTTCTTGTTAAAAAAAGAAGAAATCCGAAATTGGTGGAAGAAAAAAAACAGAAACAAAAACAAAAACAGAAACAGAGCAGGATGTGAGTTTATATCAAGCATATCGCTGTTGAGGGTATTATGGACATTACACAGGTGGTAAATTTTACTGTGAAGTGTAATGCAAAATCAAAATTCAAAATGAAAGGTGAGGCTGCCTAACCCCATCATGTCCGTCACTCGCTGTCTCTATTTTTCAAAATAATTATTATTAAACTAAATATCTTATCTTTTTTCCTCAATTTTTATTTCCCTTTCGGTTTACAACGTTCCATTAAAAAATATATAAACATATTTAGGAATATGGAAATTCAAAATTCATTGTTTTTTTTTTAAAATAATATTCACAATCCATTTGAACTCAGCACTATTTGGACCTTTTCCTCTTTTTCTTTTTTCTTCTTGTGTTCGTTTGTTTGTTTTTCTTTTTTGCTCGATCAAATTTGAAACCCCACCTCACAGGCTCAGACGCTATCCCTTCGCTTTGCTTCCATTTGTTCTTGGCTTTTATTTCCCCTAAAAGACCCGATTTTTTTGTGCCCTTGCAACGGCTTAGCCCTCCATTTTTGTCCTCCATTCCAAGGGAAAAAATTTGATCAATTGTTGTGTTATTCAATCTCGACCCTTTTCCTGCTCTAGTCTAATTCCCACAGGATCTCTTCTTCGTGTTTCCTGGTTTCGTTTTTTACCTAACCCTTGTTTTTCTTCTGGTTGTTTGCGTTTGTAATTTCTGGAAGAACCATTTTTTAATGTAATAGCCGACCGAGAAGGGAAAAAAAAAACATATATAATTTCTGGTTCATTTTTTAAGGTCTTTGATGGCGGAATTGATGGCAATGGGTAAGTTTGAGAGAACATTGCTTGTGTAGGTTTCCTCGTCCAAGTCTTGGGATTACCCAATTTCATGAATATCAGGTACGCAGCCTTCTAAAGCTCCAAAATAGACCATTTCATGGTTTGAAGCTGGTGGGGTTTCTTTATTTGACAAAACAATCCAACCCTCCGTTCTATTAAAGAAGCGAAATCGCGACGCCCCCTTTTCTTGATCCGTTGGAATAACCCCAAGAAATGTACGGAACTCAAAGCAAAAGGGACATTGCTCTAGAATTGCAAGCTCAGATTCCAATTCTAAGGCCGAGTATTCATGCGAGAAGGGCGAATATCACAGTCAAGTTTCAAGATCTATATGGGTTCACAGTGGAAGGCAATGTGGACGACGTTAATGTGTTGAACGAAGTGAGGGAAAAGGTGAGGAAACAGGGCCGTGTCTGGTGGGCATTGGAGGCAAGCAAAGGGGCTAATTGGTATTTGGAACCCTCTGTTTCCGAAGGGATCGCCCTCAAATCCTCCCTCAAATTGTCTACCCTCGCTAATGCCATCACTCTGAAAAAGTTGATTAGGAAAGGAATTCCACCAGTTCTTCGCCCCAAAGTTTGGTTTTCCTTATCTGGGGCCGCCAAGAAGAAGTCTACGGTTCCGGACAGCTATTACAATGATCTCACAAAGGCCGTTGAAGGAAAGGTCACGCCGGCCACAAGGCAGATTGATCATGTATGATTCCCCCCCTTGAATGCAGTTTTCATTGGATTTGTACCTTTGCGATCCTTGATTTTGGACGACTAGATACTTTGCAGCTACAATTCTGTTCTTCCTGTTATAATTTTCATCTCTCTCACTCTTGGGATCTAATACCTCATTGGTTTCCATAAGCATGAGCATCTTCACCAATCCAAGTTAATTTCATAATGATTTGTATACTTTGTTGTGATACTATGAGTTTTTCATTCACATTGAAAACAAAAATCAGAAATTACATTTCATCTTGACCGGAAGGAGGTGTGCATTTTTTGTGATTTAGCCTTCCATTTTTTCTTTTGGGTGGCATTGGATGCCAGGAAATGTATGTGTAGCTATTAATTACTTGAGTAGTTAAGTTAAGGGACACTGATTATTATTAATCTACTTAACAGGGATAAACTTGATGAAACAATAAATGGTGCAGATGGGATCTGGAGTCAAATCTGCTCTTTGGGCAGATGTGAATACACATTTAACAACACGAGCTCGACTCTCATTATATTGAAATGATAAATAATTTCAGTTGTTTTTGTTGTTATCTCTACTTTTAGAGTTTCTATTTGTATGTTTTTTTCAGTTATTAATTTATTTGTTGTGTAACCGTAAGATGGATGCCTTTGTTGTGATATCTTTTGGTTCATCTATTTCTGGGGTGTGGTATCATCAGTGTTGGGTAATTAATTGCTGGATGTAAGATCAGTGAAAACCTTAGGTGCAGATGGGGATCTAGGATGAAATTATCTCTCTTAATCTGATAAATGATTGGATGTTCTTTGTTTTATGTTGCTATCAATCTTTTGAACTAGTTCTGGTGTTTTTATCTACACATGCAGGACTTGCCCCGTACTTTTCCGGGTCATACTTGGTTAGACACTCCAGCGGGTCATGCTGCTCTTCGACGTGTTCTTGTTGGGTATTCCTTCCGTGACTCTGATGTTGGATACTGTCAGGTGGGTTTGTTCTTTCCGTCACTCTATCATAACCATCTGCCCAGCAAATTAGTGGATTTTTAGGACTGGTTTTTACTCGTATGCCTTTCATTTCATGTTAGTCTACATAATTGTGCATTCAGTATTCCACATCCTTTCTTCTTGGTACAAGGAGCATCACAGTTGTTTATAGTGTACATATCCAAGTTATATATTTATTATATTAGAAGACACACACTTTTCTCTGCTATAACCATATTTGCATTGGGTGACCGTGATTCGACTCCTTTTCTTAAAAAGGAAAAAAAAAAGTGGATTCCATTGTGCTTCTCATCAGTTGCAGTGGTCTGTCCATGCTTAATTCATCTCACTCTCTCTCTATCTCCCTTTCTCCTATTTTCCTCCTCGTCCTTTTGCTTATCTAGAATATTGATCTAGATTTTAGAGTACAGAAATGATTTTCTAGTTTCTATTGGCAAAGAGACATAATTGCCATACCACATRCTCGTAGGTGAATTAATACAGTTTTGATGCAGGGCTTAAATTATGTTGCTGCATTGCTATTACTCGTGATGAAAACAGAAGAAGATGCATTTTGGATGCTAGCTGTCCTCTTAGAAAATGTTTTAGTTAGTGACTGTTACACGACAAACTTGTCAGGATGTCATGTCGAGCAAAGGGTGTTCAAAGATTTACTTTCGAAAAAGTGTCCCAGGTGCGGAAATTTGGTTTCACATTCATTTGTTGTCCTGTTAGTACGAACTTTTTTTTTTTACCTTTTAAATTGGAATTTAAATGCAGGATAGCTGCCCATTTGGAAGCATTGGATTTTGACGTCTCCCTTGTCGCCACTGAGTGGTTCCTCTGTCTCTTCTCTAAGAGCCTGCCATCCGAGGTTAGAAGCATGCTCTTTCGTGGTGCCCATGTTTGACTTTCTCAAAACAAGAAAAGAAAAAATTTAGGGGCCGTTGGTTAACATTTCTATTTCTTGTTTCTTGTTTATCGTTTCTAATTTTTGAGAAACATAAGCGTTTGGTAATTTTGAAAAATTAATTTTCAAATAAAACTTTTACTTTAAAATTTTAGAAAACAAGCAACAAAAAATTGTTACAAAAACATGTCTCTTTTCTTTTTTCAATAGAAAAGAAAAAACGAGAGACAAGAACCCGTTGCCAATTCTCTTTTTCTTAATTGAAAAAGTGGAAATGAGAAAAAGAAACAAGAATGTTGCGAAATGGACCTCAAATTTGACTATAATAATATCGAACCACCTGATAGTTAAGCAGCGCAAACAAAAGCAGAAAATGTAAAGAAGTCCTGTCTATCCCACACCCCTGAAAGAATTTAACTCCATTATGGAAATAAGTGAAATACCCAGTTTCTGACCAAATGACACCAAGATTTGAAAGTGTTCCATAAACATTGTCCATCTTTTCGAGCAATAGTACTTAAAGAGCGGAGAGTTATGCCTGTCTGTATGGTTTGTATTATGAATATATGTTTGTATTAGAAGATTCTTTAAATCATGTTTTAGTTGTTGAAGTGACTGAAACATATATGTTTCTATCTTTTTCACAGACGACTCTACGTGTTTGGGACGTCCTTTTCTACGAGGGGGCAAAAGTTCTGTTTCATGTGGCTTTGGCTATCTTTAAGGTAACAGCTTTGAACATGTATTATATCGTCGTTAGTAGAGGTTATCTGGTAATACTGTTTGTTAGAAATCAGATCATTGATCATACATTATATTGAGCACTCCATAGTTACATTTTGATCCGTGATTTTCAGATGAAAGAAGACGAGTTGCTTCTAACCCATCACGTGGGGGATGTGATTAATATTCTACAAAAAACCACACACTACTTATTTGATCCCGATGATCTACTGACGGTAACTCGATCCTTTCTTTAACATTTCTGCGAAGTTCAAAAATTTCCCCCTAAACTAAGCAGAGGACCCAAATATTCATTTCAACATTGTTGTAGCCTATGCCCTTGCACATCGTAACTTACCATGGTTTGAAGCTTTGGCTGCATGCTTGCCAATTTATGTTTTTGTAGAAAAATTGTGACCTGAATCTTTCAGATATTTCGATTACAACAAATGATGTTCTTTAAAAACATTGTTATTGAATGGCAATTATTGGCGTTTTTCCCACGTTTGAGCAAAGTTTTGCATTGTAATTTTGCAGGTAGCATATGATAAAATTGGTTCAATGACGACCAACACCATATCAAAGCAAAGGAAAAAGCAAGAACCAGCCGTTATGGCTGAGCTTGATCAGAGATTGAGGCGACTAAATTCCGTCAAAGTGGATGACAAATAGTATCATTATCATCCATTCCCAACTGTCAAGCTGATCAAACTGTAACATTATAGCTATTTCAATGGGAAAAAAGACATGACTTCCCTTGCCCCGGAGAGAGAGCAAAGTAAAAAGGAAAAAAAAAACAAGAAAAGGAAAAAAAAAAAACAAGAGAGCATCTGTTTTTCCATGGTGTTTGTAGCTTTATAAAATGTAAATTACAAATATTAATACTTTATATATTGTTAATTACACTGCAAAAGAGAGCACTATGGGTTTCCCATGCTCTGTAATTTCTGTTCTGATGTAATTTCTCAATGGAATCAGATTTGATTTCTTATCCAAGTTTCATACCTCAGCTGACACTTTTCTTTAGAGGAAAACTTTTAGTGCAAGGGACAAACATAGATTTTTCAGAGTCATACAGCATGGGTTTATGAAAATAACTGAAAATGTAGAGTACAATTTCTGCCAAACGGTCACATGGGGGAGAAGAAAACTGACTAAAAGTGTATTGAAAATTTGGAACAGTGGGGAAAATATGTCAAAGAAAGTGGATATCTGGCCGACTGTTCCGTGTGTTTTTAGTTATCCGTTCCCAAAATCGTGTCTGCTGCCTTTATACAGAAGTGCAGAAGTTTCAGTCTCTAGTTCTTCGTGAAGCTCGATCACTTTTTCCATCGTGTTGTTTATACTTGGACAATCCAAAGCAAAGGGACAAAAGGGAAGAAAAATAGAAGAATCGGGTACTCGTGATTTCTCTATCTCTGGCGGTAGGAAAAATGGCAACTTTTGCGAAATACGTTAAACCCCAGAAACCCCAAAAAGGCGTAGAAGTTCTTCTCCACATCTGAGCTCCGGAATTCGAAGTCTGAATTTATCCAATGCCCCCAAGGCGTAGTAATCCTTGGACCCTAGACCTCGACCCCGACCTTTACGGAATCGATCTCGACCCATCCGATTTTGGGTCGTCTCTTCCCCTGAAGAAGGTCCCGAACGGTGACATTTTCTCGGCATCTCGCGCCGGAGATGTGGACCGCCTCCGCTACCTCCTCGAGTCCGGCGTCAATGTCAACGCGCGCGACCAGTGGGACTCGGTGGCGCTTTACTACGCCTGCTTGGCCGGTCACCTCGACGCTGCCAGAATGTTGCTGGAGAGCGGCGCTATATGTTCGGAGCACACCTTTGATGGCGATAGGTGTCATTATGCTGCCCTTAATTTGAAGGTGCGGAAGCTTCTCAAGGCATTTGAAGCAAGACCACCGCCGCTCGCCCCATTGCAGGCTGCTCTGCGTGAAACTTTCTTGGGGTCTGGAGCCAACAGGGCGTATTTGGAGCAGGCCGGGAGCCTTCATCAATTTTCAGGTAAATTTCAGTTTTGGGTTCGGAGCTCTTCGCATTATTTGTTGCTATTTCGAAAACTAGCTCATGGGACTGTTCGATTGAGGAATTATGGATGCCTTTTCTCTGTATAGTTAATTGTGGCAAGCATAATAGTTTGTCCTGCATTGCATTTTTCTTATCTGTCCTAGTTTGTAACAAATGAACAATTAGATCGTTTTTCATATGTTAGTCCAGTACAGGAGTTTGTGTTTATTGTCTGTCTATCAGACAACTGCAATTTGCCTGACTTCCCTTTACAAACAGGTCTTGCTTTCAATTCAGAATCCAACTATGAGTTCTTCCCTCCCGACGTTTCRTTTATAGTTCAAGGTAGGCCTATTGAAGCTCACCGAGTTATCCTAAGCGCTCGATCTCCTTTCTTTAAGAGGAAGTTTGAAGCTGATTGGAAAGAACGCAAGGAAGTAAGATTCTCAAAGGAAAAGCTGTCTTATCCAGCTCTATACAGTCTCATTCACTTCTTTTATTCTGATAGACTGGAGATTGCTGTAGACGATATGGAAGACCTTATCAGAATTTGCAAAGTTTGCAAATGCGAATCTTTACTCAGAATTCTTGAGAAAGAACTGGTTCATCAAAAGTATGCTGACTACAAAGCTCTGGGTGATGTTGACAACTCAATTAAGAGGTTCATCTTACAGGGTGTCTCCCTTCCTGAAGAGGACCGCCTTCCAGCAGCTTTACGTCGGATGCTTCAGACTGCTCTAGCGAACTCTGCTAGGGAACATGACCTAGTCAATGGTGCTAATGATTTATGTTTACAGGCTAGTAAAATACAGATCAATGATCACATAGATGATCTTGCAGATATTTGTGTGAGAGTTGATAAAAAGTTTTTCCGGTGTCACAAAGTTGTTTTAGCATCAAGGTCGGAGTACTTTAAGGCAAGAATATCCCGTATAAAGGATTTTGGTAAAGGGAGAAATGAAATTCCTGTTCATACTCTTCTATTTCTTGAAGAACATGATTTGAGCATGGAAGTATTTGAAAAAATGATAGAGTATATGTAAGTTTCGATCTGTATGCAATTCTTGTGCACTTGTTTTAAATTTTTTCTTGCTGACACAGTTTTTGTTCTTGGTTGGTTTTCAGGTACACAGACTGTTTAAAGCATATAGATCCTGATCAGGTATTTTAGTTGCCAACTAGAAATGCTTGCAAATTCTTGACAGTTCTAATTCTAAATTTTCGTTGTCAATTAAACAGGCGGAAGAAATGTTTGATGCTGCTTCAAGATATCTATTGTTCCCTCTTAAGCGTGCCGTGGCTGACGCTGTGCTACCACACTTGGAAATGGTTTCTCCAGCAGAACTGTGCCAATGGTTAATACTGTCTGACATGTATGTCAATATTTTCATATCGATGGTCTTTAATTTTGTAGATATCATGAGTTCTTAACTGCATAGAGTTTTAGCTATTAGCAGAAAAACGAATCAAACTAATCTAAACCATGAAATTCGGCTATGGTTGTATACGATTGACCAAAAAATTTACTTTTTTTTGGCCACAACTATCACTGGTTTTCTTCTTCCAGGTATGGTGCTATCAAGATACGTGAGTACTGTCTGGATACAATAGCTTGCACTTTTGAGACATTTGCCGATACTCGAGAATTCAGAGAGATGCTATTGACCCTCCCTCCACCATCAGGAGATTCCTCGCTCCGGACAACAGTTCCTAGTGCTCCAGGAGCTGCAGTTAATACAGATCAAGGCAACCTTCTCGATGATTTACGAGAAAAATGGCTTGAAGCTGAAGCTGCCGAACTTGATAAGAGAGATGAAAGCGCTCTCCTCTTCGATAAGCGTCTTGAGATGTTAATGCTCATGGCAGAACAAGAAAAATCTGATGAATCCCCTGATGAGACTGGTAACCATCCTTCAGCGACTGAATTCCCCTCCACCTCTCCTATCTAGTATAGAATAGAGATTTTTGGCTCAACCAATTGTTTTTTCAGGCCGTGGCTCAAATGTCCCAAGATAATTTAGTTGGGGTTTTGTAACTTTAGTTGCTCGATCATTGAACTATCCATTTCTTTTTGGACGTTTCATTTTTTGTAATATATCACAAAAGCTTGTGTTATAATAAACGTTTACTTGCTCATTGTTTAACTCAGTTTCTCTTTACCTTTTAAAACATGTCTTTGGAAAATGATGTTCTGAGCAATATCTGGTGCTTCAGATTCCTGTTTACTTTATTAACAGAAAGATGAATCTAACTCAACCATAGTATGCCATTCCATTAAAGAATTGTAAGTATAGTAGCTTCACATCATTGCATTAAACAAAAKTGAAACACAGAGAAACAAACTGTAGTAACAATACAACATTTTATCCTTCTTCCTCACGAGAATAGGAGCATTCCACTTGAAACTGCTAATACCAACTGGCTGCAGAGCCCCCCWCCAGAAATCCTGAAGGAAGAAGAAGGCGACCCCATTGATGATGGATAAGTCCTGCCTTCAGTTTCAGCAGATGGAGAATCAGCAGCAGGAGCGACATTGGGACTCGGTACTGGAGCTGGGGCGGGAGGGATATCAGTTCCAAAGATTGCCTCCGGAAGGAGTACATCATCGACTTGATAAACTGCAATGGGATCGGTCGAAAGCACACTGCTGCTCACTTTGGTGTTGGTCCAGCCGGAGCTGATGTGCACGGTGCCGGAKGCATCAGTGAAATTCAAAGTGTACTGCTCACCAGCAAATGTTGTTATGGGACTCTTTTGGCTAAGGGCGTTGAAATCAGCTAGAGTGTAGTAATGTGGTAGGCCATGAAAGAGTAGCAATGACTTGAGCTGGCCCTTGGTGAGATTAGATAGAGAAGGTTTCTTGAGGGATGAAAATGCACCATCTTTTGGCACGAATATGGTTATCCCCTCTTCAGAATCGTTGGCTTGCTTTTGGAAGGTATCAATGACTTTGGTGGATTCAAGGTAGCCAAGGAACTTGTGGAATGGGCCTGCTACAGTAAGCAAATCAGTGAGGTTGACATGATCCGGGGCGGGGGCCGGAGCCGGTGCCGGAATCGGGCTAAGTGAAGGAGGCGAAGCAGCCGTTCGAGCACATGCCGGTGAAGAAGAGCACAAGAGCAGTAGCCAAATACCAAACAAGAAAATCAAGTAAAGATTCATCTTTTTTCTTTCTCGTCTTGTCCCTGAAATGCACAAAAGCCGTCAAATTAGTTTCTTCAACTTCGCAAGTTGTGGCCTAGAGGAATGAACTAGTTCAACCACAATGCAAAGAAAAAAAATGCACACCCAGAAGAACCCCATTTCTRGATACAGAAATAAAAGTTCATTTATTCAGCAGAAGCCTTTACACAGCTCCTTGATTACTACTACAGTCTACAACTCATTTGGCAGAATGTGTGCATGAAAAAGAAAGATCAGTTGCAATGTGATTCAGTTTCTGAATCCTGAACCTTCCTACCAACAAGGCTACAACCCCAAAAGCAATACATAACGAAAAGAATTGGATTGCATGTATCAGATCAAAATGGCGTTAGAAAGATCAGAAGAAGAAGCCATGTTTTGAATGCATGCGAAGAGAAACACAGAAAGACCCTCATAGAAGAACAGCAGAAAGAGTTAAAAAAAAGGAAGAAAGAGCAGAAAGGAGAGTAGAGGAGAGACTAACTGGGTGAAAGCAGAGAGCAAGAGAGGAAATGGAGAAGATGAATAAAAGTGGAGAAGTTTGAGGAGTATATAAAATGTAGATGGAAAGGAAAGATCTCAAAAGTTGGGGGTTACAACTTACAACTGGTGAACGGTGGTTCTATTTGTTCCTTTTACGGGATATGAAGAACATATTAACAAGACAGAGACATGTAGGTTGGTCTTTCACAATCATACGAACATCTAATTAATGTTGTCAGTACCCCTGAGCCATGTGTCCCTTACCTGGATTTCTGCCCCATCATTTTCTTCTCATCTTGGATCTAATCATCTTATACTGAGAGATTTGTGATTGAAATGAGTATCAAAATTCAATCTTTAAACTTCGTATGAGAACCGAATTCAATTTGTTCAAAACCCAAAACTAGTTGAAGAGAATGGACTCATTTTCCTTTCTGTGTAAGCTTAATTCAATTTTCACACATAATGCTTGATTGGGTAGGTGGCGATTCTTGGTTGTTGTTCACTTTCAAATATTTCTAACTCAATGCTAATGGGGTTAATATAATTCATTTAGCATTTTGGAGTACCGAGAAGAAAGAATGTATTACAATCAAGTTTGGTCTAGAGAATTTAATACAGAGTAGCCATGAATGGACAATGATGAGGTTGGTTGGATGTGATACAAATGATTTACCGGTTTAAATTTCAATTTCAATTCTAAAAGTTTTAATTTTATCCATTTAGTTTAGGTTAAATTTCAATTCAGGAGCAGGTGAACACGCACGTGGCGCAATAAACCTCCATATCTCATATCTCCCATTTTCTCTCTTTTTTTTTCCTCTCCCCCACGTCTTACTTCTTCCTTTTTTCTCTCTTCTGCATTGCTTCATCATTTTTTTTATATCTGTAATTTTTAGTTTTTTTTTTATTTCCGTTGGAAAATTGGCATGGATAACTTAAAAAAGTTRGTTGTTTACTCAACTGACCTCAATTAAAAAATTTGACTCAACTRACCCAATTTAATATTTTGAATAGAATATTGAAGGATTAAATTACTATTTTAGCCTCAATCTGGAATGTAAGTGAAGTCGCAAACGAATTAACACCAAAGGAAATTAATGGRCAGATTCGACCGTGATTTTGACCGTGGTTATTGTTAGTTTGACCTTGGTTAGTAGAAAAGTAACACAAATTTTTTGCTTCACTACGATCGTGAACTATAKGACCCCGGCCGTGGTGTTAATGAAAGGCAACTAATGGGCAGGTTGGACCGTGGTTAAAATGAATGCTTGACCACGGCCGTGAAAACTAGTACCACGACCGTGGTGTTCATGGAAGACAACTAATGGGCTAGGTTGGACCGTGGTTAAATTGTTTGCTTGACCACGACCATGAAAAAGAGTACCACGACCGTTAATTTAATGACCATTATACCCCTCAGTTCAAATTCAAACTGTTCGTATCTCTCATTCCATCTTCTTTTTTGTTCTTCCGTTTTTATTTTCGTTTTCGCCCATTCGATTTACACTCCCTCAATTTCCTCTGTTTCACTCTCTACTAGTCAATATCGTGCTCCGAATCGCTTCCCATATCCGAAACTTCGAGGTTAGAGCATTTTATTTCGTATTTGCGTCCCTTTTATGGCAAGAAAATAATTTTTTTTTTACTTATATTTGCGATTTTTTTCGTTATTCGTCAATTAATTCCTTCCATGGCAGTCTATTTAGTATTGTCGGTATTTGTAGGGCTCGAAATCGGCGTTTTTTGTTTATGATTTACGTTTGTGGTTGAAATTTTGATTTAGGGCTTCGGGGTTTCTGTTTTCGGTTGTGTTTGCGTGGGTTTGTGTGGGTTGAACGTTTTCTGCTGCGTTTGTTATCGTTGYGTGGGTTTTCTACAGTGGAAAAAGGAAGGTTTAATGGGCGCGTTAACGGCCGTGGTTCAACGCAAATTTCATGGGCGTGGTTTTTGGCCGTGGTTAAAATGATTGCTTGACCACGGCCATGAAAAAGAGTACCACGACATTGGTTCTGTCCAAATTCACGGTCGTACCACGGCCATGGTCGTGACCTTGAAATTTGATAGAATCAATATCCTTCTTGAATTTTCACTACCTAGGCCATGGTAAGCCCATGAATTTGGACAGATTATGTTGTTTTTGGGTTTTCATCTGTTYCTTTCATCTGTTCCTTTCTATGTTTGGGTTTTCATCCATTCCTTTCATCTGTTCCTTTCTTTGTTTGGGTTCTGGCTTGCTGAATAATGTATTTGTATTTCAGGTTTATAAAATGGACCATGGTCGTCAGCCGATCAAGGTTATCTGTATGCAATCGACCTAAAACCACGGTCGTTAATCATAAAACCATTGACCACGGCCATTAAACGAATAAACACGGCCATGAATCATTGACTTACGTAACTTCTTTTAGCCACAAAAATACTGACAAAAATTCAGAAATTTCATTTACTCCAACTAAATACATCATATTCTAGACGAATCGAAAACAATATTATGAACCAATAAAAAAACTAACATCGTTCAAGGTGTCAGAGATGAAAAATTGACTTCCTTTAATGGATTCAAGATATGAAAAATGTTGGAAAAGGTATGGAAGTTCTTCAAAACCACGTGAAAGATGTGCTTCTGGACAATACGGACTGAAACATACTTTTATTCTCTGCACTCGGTGAGAATGTGTGGGTATATAATAAATGATAGTACAAAAATTTGGTGGGGAATTATTAAGTTGGTGATATTTTAATAAATTCATGGCCATGAATCAAGTGGAACTCGCCCATGGTTTTAATTACACCAACCTAGGTGATTCTGTGCCAGATTTGTTGTAGTTCAATTCATTTGGGGGTATATTCGTAATTGCAGACTCTCTGAAATGTCAGAAAAGTTAAAACTGGGTCAGTTGAGATAATTTTTATAATTTAGGTCATTTGAGCAAAATGGAAACTTTTTCAGGTCAATTGAGTCAATTTCCCATTTCCGTTTTACAAAATCACAAGTATCTCTCTTGTTAATATATCTTTTTTATTTTTAATTTAATGTATCTTTTTGTATTTAAAAAATACGAGGGAAAAAAAATAAGCAAAACGACATTTTTTTTAAGTTTAACTTTCTACGTGTGTAGTTTTGCWTTGTGAAAAAAGTAACAAGTTTTGTTTGATGCAAGAAGAAATATATAATTTTTTTTTTTTGTGACAATGAGAAGAAATTTCTTTTTGAAATAGTATGGAATAGATATAGTAAAAAATATACAATAGATTTGGAAAAAAGATATAGTAAATTCGGTTTAAAAAATATAGTAAGCAATAAAAATAATAATAAGGGGAAGAACGCAAAAGAAAGAAAAAGGAAGGAAACGCGACGAAATACAAAGAGGTGGAAGAGAAAATATACGAGATATTGATGAGATATTAAAAGATAATAAATAATTAAAAAGAAACACTTGTCTATACGGTACTGGAGTAYTCAAGAGGAGTTTCCTCCTGAGCTTTTTCCAAAATTTAATTTGGGTTAAGCTTTATTTCAATTTGATATTTATAATTTGAGTTTAGTTTTTATTCCTATGACCCAGATCAAATTAAAAATGTGTTCAAATCAATAAAGTTTAAATTGAAACTAATCTAAACTATATAGACTGAATTGAAAATTTTAAACTATAGGGGTCAAAGTGAAACCATGTCTAATTTATATGGACTAAATTTATAAATAATTTTTTTAATTCTAATTCATACGAACTATATATATATAATTTTTTAAAATAAATTTCTAATTTATTTTTTAAAAATATTTATACATTCTAAGAACACTTGAAATCTGAGCCAATGTTAAAAAACTGAAAGTATAGCACTAAGAATTTGTGTTTGTTTTTAGAAGTTGGCWATAATTTTAATTTCCTAAAAATATATTATTAAAAATTTTCTTTTTTAACAACTCAAAMAAAAATTTCTTTTTTAAAAAAATAAAAAAGTACTAAACAATTCTTAAATAATTCTTAAATTGAGAGGGAATTGATTCGATCCCGATGATCACCTACCTTAAAAATTAATTCTTACTTTGTGAAATTAGTGAGATGCTCTTATTGTATTCAAAAGGAAAACAGTTCAATGAACAAGCCTAATAATTTAGTTAGTATAAATAATCCATTCATATTCAAATAATAGACTTCTA